CGGGTAAGCCACTGACCAGCAAGCCCTGAGATCCTCCTGTCAGTTTCCCTGCACTGGGACTGCAAGCACCGACCACCATGCCAAACTCATTTCCTCTTATCAGCAAGTAATATTCCCTTACGTTCATTTTACCAAATAGTTCATTATGTGTCATGTTTTACTAATCCATCAACTGGTGCACACTTACTTTATTCTCTTTGGTTTATGGATCTTTCGTGGGCTATGTTCCTGTTTCTCTTGAGTGTATGCCTGTCTGGGGATGGAATGGTTGGACTCGTTGGTTCTTTTCTTGTTTTGAAAGTGGCTGTACCAGTTCCCATTTGCATTGTCAGTTTGTTGTTTTTGTTTTTTGAGACAGGGTTTCACACTGTAGCCCAGGCTGCCTCGGAGCAGGCTCTGTAGCCCAGGCTGCCTTGGAGCAGGCTCTGTAGCCCAGGCTGCCTCGGAACAGGCTCTGTAGTTCAGGCTGGCTCAGAGCATATAGCAGTCCTGCTTCAGTCTCCCTAGTGCTGGGATTACAGGTGTGGTCAGTGCTGAGGTAGTTTAATTTTGTGGCATTTGTCCCAGGAGGACCCACTGTTAACTGATATTTTGTTAACCCTCCTGGTGGGTACAAAGTAGTATCTCACTCTGGGTTTCTTCTTTGTTTCTTGTTTGTTTGTTTGAGATAGGGTCTCACTTTGTAGCTCCGGGTGGCCTAGAACTTGGTCTGTAGACCAGTCTGGCTTCAAACTCATAGAGATCTGCCTGCTCTTGCCTCCCCAGTATGGATCCTAATGACTCACCATGACTGGCCACACTCTGATTTTCATTCACACTGCTCTAACTAATGATGTACAGAGTGTTCTGTTTATTTACTTTAAAGATTTATTTATGTATATGTGTGTTGTCAGTGTGTGGATGTGTGATGTGGAGGCCAGAAAAGGGCTTTCGGTCCCCTGGAGCTGGAATTGCAGGTGGCTGTGAGCCCCTTGACTTGGGATGGAAACTGAACTTGGGTTCTCTGGAACTCTGTTTCCATAACTGCTAAGCCATCTGTCTCTGCAGCCCCTTGTTTTTGTTTTAAGACAGGATTTCATTTTTGAGTCCATCCTGGCTTCAGGTCAGCATGATCCTACTGCCTCTGAGGAATTATTTTCACATCCGCACATGCAGTAAGGAAGTGAATAGTTGCCATGCTGTACTGGGTGGTCTGCCATACTGAAGACAAGGCTTGTTGTAGCGACAGTTGTATAGATTCGTGAGCAGGTGCAGGACTGAAACACGCCATATTACTGTTTTCCCAGTTCTTGAGAGGCTGAGGCAGGAAGATTGATTACCTGTTCAAGCCAGCCTAGGCTGTATACTGAGACCCTGTGTCATAAAACCAAGTTGGAGGCCAGGTGTTGGTGGCGCACGCCTTTAATCCCAGCACTCAGGAGGCAGAGGCAGGCGGATCTCTGTGAGTTCGAGGCCAGTTTAAAAAAAAAAAAAAAAAAAAAAAAAAAAAAAAACAAGTTGGAGGAAAAGCCTAGAATGAGGTCAAGGGCTTGCCCTTGTTTCAGAATGAAAAAGCAAGGAGGGGCAAAAAGTCGTAAGTTGCTTTTAGGGTTGTAATTGCATATGCAGTGGAGGAAGTCTTGAAGTTCTGGACCTCCTGCCTCCACCTGGAAAGTGCTAGGATTTAGGCGTGGGCCACCATGACCAGTCTGCACGGCTACTTTCTAGATTGAGAAGCACACTACAGTCATTCCGGCCCTGTAAACCCACTTGATTTTCCCTGTAACCAGACCTTGATCCATGTTATTCCTTAAATGGTTTATGTAAGATAGGATTCATTATATAGTATGTCCTAGTGTGACAGTCATTTTATTGCATGGAATTTTTTTTTTCCTGAAAATGATGTTTTTTGTTTTTTTAACTTCCCAGCGTGGTCAAGAAAGTGGCTCAGTACATGGCTGATGTGTTGGAGGACAGCAAAGACAAAGTTCAGGAGAACTTGTTGGCCAGTGGAGGTGAGCCTACCCTTTATGATTTGTAAGTATTGTGTATAATGGGAGTGACACCACTTTACCAGAAAGCTGTGCAGCGACTAAGGTGACGTCACAGTCACTTCTGCCCCCGGAACATAATTTGTGTCACTCTTAGGTGACACAGAGTGTATTGTGAGATGCAGGGTGTGTTCTCAGCATTATTGCAGTTAGATGCTCCTGTTTTCTCCTGAATGAACCAGGAATGATTGATTTGATCACAGGGTATTAATGCCTCTTTCCCCTCCAGCTAGAATACTGCTTTTCTTAGTGTCTATGTAGACCACTAATATACATGTCTGCAGCTATATGGTAGTAATTTGTATTGAGCCTGTTCTGGGTAATGGTGTCTTTATAAAGAATACTTTGATCTCATATTGTTGATTTTATTTATTTATTTAATTTACTTTTGAGACAGTCTCACTATGTAGCTCTGGCTGGTCTAGAACTTGATAAAAAGACTAGGCTGGACTTGAACTCACAGAGGTTCTCCTGCCTTTGCCTGGGATTAAAGTTGTGAACTACCACACCCAACAATACTACTTTAAAAAATGTCGTGTTGTGGGGCTGGACAGGTGGGCAGATGGCTCAGTGGTTAAGAGCACACACCGTTCTTGTCGACGACCTGAGTTCAGTTCCCGGCACAGCCTTGAATGGCTCACAGCCACCTGCAACTTCAGGGAGTCTTCTCTGGCCTTGCAGACTCAGGCACTCATCTGTACATACCTTCTCCTACCTCATGTACATGATTAAAAAATAAATCTCAATTTCAGTGTTCTTCTAATCTTATTCACAGTTATTAATCAGGACCCTTCAGAAATTATATCTTTGCCTATGTTAAAAGGGAAACAGCCTTGGGGCTGGAGAGATGGCTCAGAGGTTAAGAGCACTGGCTGCTCTTCCAGAGGACCTGAGTTCAATTCCAGCAACTGCATGGTGGCTCACAGCCATCTGTAATGAGATCTGGCGCCCTCTTCTGGCCTGCAGGCAGAACATTGTATACATAATAAATAAATAAATTTTTTTTTTTTTTTTTTTTTGGTTTTTTGAGACAGGATTTCTCTGTGTAGCTTTGGAGCCTATCCTGGCACTCGCTCTGAGACCAGGCTGGCCTCGTTAAATCTTTTTAAAAGAACAGCAATAACAACAAAAAACAAAGAGCCAGATGTGGTGGCTCACGCCTTTAGTCCCAGCACTCAGACGGCAGAGGCAGGTGCATCTCTTAAGTTTGAGGCCACCCTGGTCTATAGAGTGAGTTCCAGAACAACAACAAAAAAATGCTATAACTTCTTTTCAGTAATTAATTTATTACCTTATTTCAGTTGACTTGGTCACTTATATAACAAGGTTCCAGTGGGATATGGCCAAATATCCAATCAAGCAATCTCTGAAAAATATTTCTGAAATAATTGCTAAGGTAAGACGAAAATTGAGGCAGGTAGGTCACACTGATTTATACAAGATTTGTTTAAACTATATATGTGTGTGTTTGGGGTGTGTGTGTGTGTGAGTGTGTGAGTGTGTGTGTGTTACAGCTATGAAAAACTTTTTAGGTTTTTCCTCTGTTTTTTGAGACAGGGTCTCTCTTTCTGTAGTCCTGACTATCCTGGAATTCTCTCCATAGACTGGCCTCAAACTCACAGAGATCCACCTGCCTCTGCCTCCTGAGTGCTGGGATTAAAGGTCATGCCACTACATCTGGCCTTGAAACCTTTTGATTAGTAATCTTGAAATGCAGTGGGCTGGGATCCTTTTACTTGGGTTAAGAAGTATTGTGACAATAGCAGTATGGACTAGCATAGTATAAAAGATTCATGTGAAAATGTGAAATTTTTTAAATGCCCCTTTTAAGTTGTACTTTTAATGTAATCACATACTCTTAATCGGAAACTGTTTGAATTGTATGAGTAGAGGCAAACCCAGGAAGCGCTGCCTGTCTTTCTGCTCTTTTGAAGGGAGTGACTCAGATTGACAATGACCTGAAATCTCGAGCGTCTGCATACAATAATCTGAAAGGGAATCTTCAGAATTTGGAGCGAAAGAATGCGTAAGCTCTCAAGTCTTTGTGGGTGCTAAGTGTGAGGGAGTGTGGGGCGCCGTTAGGGTTAGAAGGCTCCAGTCTGCTGTTTCTGTAGTCAGCGGCTTGTGGGGGAGGAGGTTACTGGGAGGAGGGCTCAGCAGCTAGGTGCTGGCTGCTCTTGCAGAGAACCTGAGTTGGTTCCCAGCACTGGTCTGTGACTTCATTTCTGGGCATCTGTCTGATGCCCTCTCCTCACCTGCAGGCTCCTACACACGTGGGCTGCACAGAAATACTTTCTGATGTTTGGTTTTTTTAAACTTCATGGAGAAAGGTTACTAATTTTACAGAATTTGAGCAATTCTAAACAGATGTGAAGCTGATTGATTCATTAAACTTTCTCATAAATTTACTTGCCACCTGGAGGCCGGCTTATTTCGTTATCCATTTGATAAGGCTGGTAACCACCAAGTGACGTTTCAAGTGCATAGCTTTTCAGAGTTGTTATCGTAGTCCAAGGAAAGAGCTGGCTGGAGATGTCTGTGGCACAAACAGGGCCAGGCATCTCCATTCCTGGAAGACCAGATGAAGACTGATTTGAAAGTTGATTATTGTCTTAATTAGCCAGAATTGTCTGGGATCACACGATGTCCAGGGAAAGGAAGAGAAGAACAGAGGTTGTAACGCTTAGATGACATAATTTCATAATTATAGTGAAGTAGACTCTGGCATTGGATGACTGGTTCTTTCCCAGTCAAGGTATGTAATTACGAGAAGTGCTGAGTTACAGCAATTAAAGCAAGCACAAAGTTAGACATTAGAGGCAAATTTTGATAAACCGGTAGGATACATCTGGTTAAATGTTGACTCTTAAGTAAAATGGAAACAATTTTATTTTCTGTGTATGACTGCTTTGCCTGCATGGATGTATGTGCACCAAGCGTGTGCCTGGTGTCCCTGGAGGTCAGAAGAGGGTGTCAGATCCCTTGCACCTGAGTCACCCACCATGTGGGTGTTGGGACTTGAACCTGGGTCCTCTGCAGGAGCAGGTACTCTTAAGACTGAGCGTTTATGATGTGTGTTTAGCCTCTCCCTCTCCTTGTGTCACGAAAGTGCACACTAACCCTCTGATGAATCTCCTCTCATTCCGCAGGGGGAGTTTGCTGACTCGGAGCCTGGCAGAAATCGTGAAGAAAGATGACTTTGTTCTTGACTCAGAGTACCTGGTCACGCTCCTGGTGGTAGTCCCCAAGTATGTCTGTTACCAGAAAGGCCTTAAAACTCAAGTACAAATTTGTTCATGTGGCATATACAGTAAAATGTCTTTTATGATGTGGTAATGGACACATCAGTTATAAGCTGGTAGGCTTGGATGACTAAATAATTTTGTTATTAAAAGTTTAAAACTACACATTTTAGATTTTTCAGATCAGGCCATTGAATTTGTTATTCTGAAAAATATTTACTGTTAGTTGAGGTGAACTTGAGCCCTGTAAGAATGAAGAGTGTGTGCCGGGCAGTGGTGGCGCACACCTTTACCCCAGCACTCAGGAGGCAGAAGCAGGGGATCTCTGAGTTCGAGGCCAGCCTGGTCTACAGAGCAAGTTCCAGGACAGCCAGATACATAATGAGACCCTGTCTCAAAACAGTGGCATCAAAAGCCTCAGAGAGAGACATACACACTCCTTTTTTGTTTTTGGTTTTTCGAGACAGGGTTTCTCTGTGTAGCTTTGGAGCCTATCCTGGCACTCGCTCTGGAGACCAGGCTGGCCTCGAACTCACAGAGATCCGCCTGCCTCTGCCTCCCGAGTGCTGGGATTAAAGGCGTGCACCACCAATGCCCGGCGACATACACACTCTTAATGGCCTCACGTCTTCTTCTCCTTCTCCTCCTCCTCCTCCTCCTCCTCCTTCTTCTTCTTCTTCTTCTAAGATTTTATTTATTTATTATGTATACAATTCTGCTTCCATGCATATCTGCACACCAGAAGAGGGCACCAGATCTCAGATGGTTGTGAGCCACCTTGTGGGTGCTGGGAATTGAACTCAGGACCTCTGGAAGAGCAGTCAGTGCTCTTAACCTCTCAGCCATCTCTCCAGCCCCTGGCCTCACGTCTTAATGGCTGGTGACATTTCTGGGGAGTCTAAGCTGAGATGGGAGACACTGTGCGAACCCCGCCTGTGCTCTGTATTGTGTCTGGTTAGGAAATGAGAGGAAAGGAAAACCCTGGTTCCTGGAGGAGGGTGGCGAGAAATACCCCGGCGCTCAGGAGGCAGAAGCAGGGGATCTCTGAGTTCGAGGCCAGCCTGGTCTACAGAGCAAGTTCCAGGACAGCCAGATACATAATGAGACCCTGTCTCAAAACAGTGGCATCAAAAGCCTCAGAGAGAGACATACACACTCCTTTTTTGTTTTTGGTTTTTCGAGACAGGGTTTCTCTGTGTAGCTTTGGAGCCTATCCTGGCACTCGCTCTGGAGACCAGGCTGGCCTCGAACTCACAGAGATCCGCCTGCCTCTGCCTCCCGAGTGCTGGGATTAAAGGCGTGCACCACCAATGCCCGGCGACATACACACTCTTAATGGCCTCACGTCTTCTTCTCCTTCTCCTCCTCCTCCTCCTCCTCCTCCTTCTTCTTCTTCTTCTTCTAAGATTTTATTTATTTATTATGTATACAATTCTGCTTCCATGCATATCTGCACACCAGAAGAGGGCACCAGATCTCAGATGGTTGTGAGCCACCTTGTGGGTGCTGGGAATTGAACTCAGGACCTCTGGAAGAGCAGTCAGTGCTCTTAACCTCTCAGCCATCTCTCCAGCCCCTGGCCTTTTCTCTTAATGGCTGTTGACATTTCTGGGGAGTCTAAGCTGAGATGGGAGACACTGTGCGAACCCCGCCTGTGCTCTGTATTGTGTCTGGTTAGGAAATGAGAGGAAAGGAAAACCCTGGTTCCTGGAGGAGGGTGGCGAGAAATAGTAGGCACTCCGTTTCCCTGCCATGACCTCTGTATGAGCACACAGGCTCTTGGATTTTCCTGCCTGTGTGAAGAAGAGCTAGGTCTCTGGCTGTCCTTGAACTGGGGCTGTGGTCTGGCAGACCTGGAGCTCCTACTCTTTCTGCCTTCACTTCCAGGCACTGGCCTCACGGGCATCTCAGGCATGCTTCCCTGTGCCCAATGTGGAAAGCTTTGCTTCTTGTGTTCCTGACACGGCTCCTGACTGGAACATTGGAACACATTATTTATTTAAAATTTCTATTTATCTTTGCTTTTGTAGCTTACAGGAAAATAACCTTTGCCACATTTTTTTTTTTTATTTAGCTTTCTTTAAAATTTGTGTTTAGAAAATTTCAGCTTTTGTACCTTAAAATGGACAAAGGAGCCCTGAAGGCCACTTTACACATTGAATTACCCATGCCTACAGCCACTTTATTGTAAATCACACATGCAGTTGTCTCTCCGCGCCCCAAAGCCAGTGGTCTTTCCAGAGAGCTGTTGCAGTGTTCTGAGGCAGCATCATTTACTGCCACTTGCCTCCTCGATGCTTCCTGGGCTGCACCCTATTTTCTATAAAGAGTTTTATTCAGCCCTTTGTAGTGACCACCAAATGGTAGTGATTTCCCATGGCCTCTCCTGTTTTAAAGTGAGGTATGTTTCTGAACCGTGCAGTTTAACAATAACATAGGCACTGTACTGTGTTTTACCACCGTAACAAACCAGGCTCTGGGCTGCACCTCTGTTGCAACAGTTACCGGCCCAAGGGAGGCCACCGGAGCCTCCTGCTTCACTCGGCATATTTGAGGCATGTTCTCAGTGGGGAATTTTGTTACATGTATATGATGTGGTTTCCTCTTCCTGGGCATGGCAGAAGTAGGACTTGCCTTCCCTCCCTTGCTCAACGGTGCCTTTTCCACAGGTTGAACCACAACGACTGGATTAAGCAATATGAAACGCTCTCAGAGATGGTGGTCCCGAGGTCGAGCAAGTAAGTAGCTGTCTGGCAGCGGTGCTTTGTTCCCTACAAGTCTCCTACGGTCTGTGGGTCAGGAGATATCTCCGTGTTTCCTTTGCAGTAAATCTCTTATTTTAGAGCCGTCATTTCTACTTCATAAATTGTCAGCTAGAGTTACCTTTTTTTTTTTTTTTTTTTTTTTTTTTTTTGTAGTTTTGGAGCCTATCCTGGCGCTCGCTCTGGAGACCAGGCTGGCCTCGAACTCACAGAGATCCGCCTGCCTCTGCCTCCCCCACCCACTCCTGGCTTCTAGTTACCATTTTGTATCTAGAAGGGACTTGGCACAACCAGGTGCCCCTCATGTCTATAGATGGAGACGTTTGAGGAGAGTGAGGTGAAGTGTTTGCCCAGAGTCCCACTTGTCACTAACGGCAGGACTAGGGCCGGAACCAGCGATGGCTACCCCTTATTGCCTTCTGAAGCCTTGTCCACTGTGCACTTTGCCTTCTAACTTCCTTTACCTCACAAAGGGATCGCACAGGCAGCTCCTGGAGGCCCTGCTGATCTCCATTATCACTTTGAGGGGAGATTTGAGGCCGGATCTGTTCATCTTTAAAAACAGAATGCTCGCCTTTTTAGCAAACATGCTGAGTTGTGATTGCAGCGCTGTGAGGCAGTGTAGGCAGCTGATCTCCTCATAGATCAGGAGGCCAGCTTTTAAGTGGTCTAAGTTCAGTGCCCGTGGCAAGGCAGGGCTGACGGAGGTCTTGTAGCTCATGACTGATGTCATCAGCCCGTGCCTGCTATTGGCACACCAAGTGTTCTTGAGAGGAAGTGACGTTAGGAAGGTCAGGCTGTGGAGTGCTTTTCCAGTTCATTGGGAGTTAGCTTAGGGTGGTGGACACCATGGACCCCGTTGTTGGTTCTTCTCAACTTGCTGTGTGACCTGGCGAGTCCTTGACTTCTTGGGGTCTCATTGTCTTGTCTCAGCTGACCTCAGTTAGGAAGCTAAAGACCTGATAGACTGTGTATCATACAAGGCTGTACCACTGACGCTCAACAAGTGTTGATCTTTCGAGACCTATAGTCTGAGTTCACTGTGATTCTTTTCCCCTTCGTTTGTGCTAATTCCCTCCATTAAAGCCAACCTCTTGACAGGGTAAACCGACGACAGTGGTTGTGTCTTGACATAATTCTTGTGTGGGCTGTTGTTCCTGACCAGTAATAACTTCTCTGTAGGGCACTGGAGCTCAGGGGTTGACATGCTATCTAGGAAGCAGGTGCCTAGGCTGAGCCCGAAGGGTCAGCGCAGTATCCCCTAGAGGTAGGCTGCAGGGCAGGCTGCAGGGTTGGGTGTGGGGCTGCAGAGCACAGGTCATAGGCCCTAATTTTGAAAGGAGAACTTTATACCATTACAGAGAGTTAGATCTTCTGTTAACCACTGTACTAGTTTAAAGGAAAAATAGTTAAGTGTAAGCAATACTTGTCCCAGTGGCCTTCTGGGTCCCCAGACCTGCTTCAGTCAGGGTAAACATCCGCTCCACCAGGTTCTCAGTGTACAGTGCGGTTGGCATCACTGACTAAGAAGTGTGGCTGTTCCGATGTTTGGAGCCAGCTCAGTAGCACCAGGAGGGGCCTGTACTTGCCATGAGCCAGCTACGTGAGCTAGTCCTGAGGCGCTGCTCAGATATCCGCTGTTCAGGAGAGAGCTCTGTGGGGCCTGCCGCTGGCCTTTCCTTTTTGTGTGTGTGGTGTTAAGGGTCAGACCCAGAAATCGGCTTGTGCAAAGCAAGAATTCTATTGTGAGCCGACTCCTCAGCCTGGTAACTAATGTGTTTTTGTTGTTTTGTGGTTTTTTTGAGTAATTCCTTGTGGCAGCCATTGTTTCAAGTTCTTTACTCAAAATAAGTCCTCTGTGGAAAGTAACAGGGCTAGAGGGGGGGTGGCCCAGCAGTTAGGAGCATTGGCTGTTCTGACAGAGGACCCAGGGTAGTTCACAACCGTATGTAACTCCAATTACAGGGGCTCTGACTCTCTTCTGACCTCCATTGGCATCGGACACACACACACACACACACACACTCACACACACAC